TTAAGGGAAAGAAGGAGCAAGACAAAACTTTGGGGGAAACAGGTACAGTCATATGCATGGCCACTCTCACGTAGGCAACCTACATGAATGCCTTGAGCCCCTCCTGTAAACTTTAGCACAGATCTGTTCATCACAATTTGAGTTCTTTACAGACAACACTTATGGTGCACAGCAGAAAACTTTGCAAATATCTTCCCTGCAAAGCATATGACCATGTACAAATGTTTCTCAGACATGACTGTATAAATGTCGCTGATTTGAACGCGGCACTCTATCTGCTTTCTACTTGCTGCTTCTGTTGCTTCAAGTAATATATTCTTTCTTAAGCGTTCCAAAAACAGAATTCCAACATCAAAACTAAGAGCATAGGAATATAACCACTTCGTAATAAAAACAAGTCATTAGGATTGAGAACAAATCCCAATAGAGATAGGCAATATCGAATTCTCAGACAAATTCAGTTTTCTGAAGTGAACAGTGATGGATAATCTACAAGAAGTGCCATCACAGTATATGGTATCCTTTTTAACAATTATAAACTGGTGTTTGGTCTTAAGCTGTAAGCCAGCCAGTTAGATCATTTCAAATTGGAAACTGAATCATCTGCCAAGAGAATACTTTTAAAGGTTGCATTAAGTGCATTGCAAGACACCTGAAGAACTAAAAAGCTGTCAGTTTCAGGCAACAATTACGGAGCCTGGGGAGCCACGAGTGTCAATAACACATGAGGGCACACAGAGCTGGCGGATCCATGTGTTATTGGGCCGTCACAGGTACTAACCTCAAGTACAAAGAAAGGGGACAGTGAACACGAATATATAAGTATCTGGTTTAAGGTCCACGGCAAGTCATTTCACTGCTCTATGACCTTGCTCAGGCTTCATTGATTTTTTTGGTTGACCCTTACGGATCCACGGATCCATCTGTTTCAGACGTGGGTGTGGGTAAGCGTGCTACACGCTGCCGTCTGCGAGAGTGTCATTCTCCCGTGACCAGCTGCCTTTTAGGGGTGAAATTCTGCCGTAAAATCATACCCAGTGACAACAGCTCAGACGGCAATCCCAATCAATGAAAAGGGGAAAAACACGAGATCAGCTCACTGACATTTTTAGGAAGTTTGATAGTTTGGTTCCTTTTTCCATGTAACTTTTCCGGAAGAAGAAGCCTGTGTGGTTGGATCGATACAGTGAGGCTTTTCCCAGTGTCCGGGTCAGAGAGCATCTGGGTCCCCAGTCTTGGTGCTGTCACAGGGGTTAGTGCCTGTGCCGTGACCGTATGACCTAGCCGTCACAGGTTAACTTACAACATAATCCCTAGCTTCAAAAGCATACGTGGGTTTCCCTATCGTCCTCTTCATGAGTTCTTTGTGAAAACAAAGAGACTGAGTCTGCCAATAATCAGCAAGAGAACAAGGTAAAATAAATAAAATGAAAGTAACCAGAAGATTGTTACATCTGCCAAACAATTGGTAGGGATTTTCAAAATCTTTTGATGAACTATAATGGTATTTTTCCGTACAATTAACTCTAAAACGTGGGGAAAATACGTCCATATTGTAGATTTAGAAGCCCCTTGCTCACACCAGAAAAAGAAATGTTAAGACAATAAAGTTACTTTGTAGACTGCAAATTGAGAACACACAATCTAGCTTCATTTTTCCTTGACTTCAGTAAAGGTGAAATAATGGTTAATAATGGTGGCATGCCAATCTTTAAAGATGTTCAATGAGACATTTGCTTACAAATGTGAATGATTTACAACAAAAAATATTTTATCCTACTTAGCTCTTCAGAAACAAAATTATTTATGCGAAGAAACGTTTGCATAGGATTTATACATTCTGATAATAGAAACAAATGATTAAAATCTGGATCTGAAAGCTGCAGAATATGATAAAACAAAAGACATTAAAATAACAGATTTGTTATTCTCCTAGAATCCTTTTCCTATCTTTGGTGCAACAGTCTTAAAGTTAAAAAGTAGAATGAATGAAGGAGCAAGGACTGCATCATTTTAGCCATGGATCCTGTTAAACCATATGTACCTTCAGTTTTGAAATTGCTTTAAAATCAAATTTATTTCCCTAAACTTCAGATTTTTTTAAACTTCCTCATTTACTTCTATGATGTATTTCCTTTCCTTTTTTTTTTTTTTCTGCACCTGCTACCTCCTGAAGAAAAGTACATCAAATCTGATCCTAAAAACAGATCAACTAAAAATGAGGGAAGCAAAAATATGTTTCTATTTATTTACTGATGCTTCTAGTGTGTGTGTGTGTGTGTGTGTGTGTGTGTGTGTGTGTGTGTGTGTGTGTGTATTCTTGAAAACACACTCACCGTTTAGGAATTTTTTTTAAAAAAAATAGAAGTTTGCTGAGCACAGATTTGAGGTGTAAGAAATAAAATTTATTTTTGCTATTTTTTTTTAAATGGGATAGGGTTCCTTTAATTAATCAGAATAACCTGTTTCTCATTTCACTGTTTTTGTTTTCAAGTGTTAATTCTTTCCTAGCCATCTTTTCTTACACTTATTGATTACTGACATTCTTGGTCTCTTCCTAAACATTTAGAGAATGCCATGAAACATGATTCAGAAACCATTTGCGGCCAACAGATTGTGATGTTGAGAGAACAGTGGAATAGATACATACACAAATGGTAAACAATCATGAATATTCAACATCCTTCATTATGAGATTCCAAAAGACAATGCAGAGATATTTGTATAAATATAATAAATGAGTGCTGTGTGAAGGTTTTGGAAGCAGCAGAGATGGGGTAACTGATTTACAGTTAATGTAAAATTTTATAGTCTATAGTCTAGTATAGTGACACATAGTCATATGTTGAAAATTCTTCGGTGAACAAGGAGCAGACATGGATGGAGAATTCTAAAAGCCAGCATAATGGAGATCTAATTATAGAACTCAACACCATTCATCATCCACTTTTGAAGCTATATTCTGCCTTCCAACAAGACCTCTCTTGAAATCTTTAGGAAATTAAATTCGAATTCTTAACCTGGCTATGCTGGGTAACCTTAAAACAAGATAATTCCACCAACTACATTCTTTGCATAAAACTTTGAGATTCCATTACTAAAGGAACTCTGCATATAAAGAAATGAGGTTTTTGTCCCTTATTTTAAAAGGTAACAGTGTAGCTATCTACTATATTTACAACTTTTTTACACAGAGGAAGGGAAAAGTAAAAATTATATTTGTACAAGAACACATCCCACTACAACTATATTTCAACTCCCACAGGACAGGACAAAAGAAAACCTTACTGGATATGTTAATGCACTTAATGTTTGTTTACTCATTATTCATTATAAAGAATATCTGGGGATGGCTTAGACTAGACTGACCATTTAGGTTTATTCAGGAGGCTAGGAATGACCTTGTTCCAATCTTTTTCTAAAAAACCAAACTGGTATCTACTTTGGATTGCTGATCAATTCCATAAAACCCTGTGACTTAAGCACATGCGATCTTAATTAGGATGGCAAACCTGAGTCTAAATAACATCCACTTATGAGTCAATCATGGTATAATAGATTCTCCCTGAGTATGGACTCATAGAATCTCAGATCATAAGCAGGCTCCCTGGCTTTAAATCCTGGCTCTACATCTTCCTAACTTCATCTTTGTATGCACCAGTTTTCTTATCAGTAAAATAAAGAACTCTTAGTACCTAGGTTCATAGGGTGGTTGAAAAAAGTAAATGAGCGCATAGAACAGAGTCTGGCAAATGACAAGCACTCAGTAAATGTGAGCCGCTATCATTTCCCCCTTTAAGATAAATACTGCATTAGGCCTTTTTGCAGTCAGTCTGTTATCAGATATTTAATCAACACCTTGTACATCACCAAAATAGCGAAAGAAACTGCTGTAACCCATACTATTTCACCTCAAACCCTGAGGCATAGCTCAGAGAAAAGTACCCTCACTACACATTGTTTCAGTAATTATTAAGCAAATATTTTCTGACTATACAGTGATTTCCAAAGCCTCAAATGTTGCTAGCTTTAGAAACGAAATCTAAATTTCCTTTTTTGGTAAAATCAAGGTAAAATATTAATGACTTAGATGTTTCAAAAGGGAAACGGAGAAAGGTCCATCCAAAATGTGCTACAGACAAAAAGAACTCTGGGGTGGCTGGCTCCCCACCCCTCCCCCACCCGTCCTGCTTCCTTCCTTCTTTCCTCTCTCTGTGTCGCTTCTTCTTTCCGGCTATAATGAATCATAGGTTCTTATCGTTTTATGTTATGGGAAAACACAATGGAGTCATTCACAAACAAAATAAGTTATGCAGAACAAAACATGCAACCAAAGCGCACAAGAGAGACAGGATTCCAGAGCAGAACTTACCCCACGCTTTAGACTCCTGAAGCAGTGGATTTTGGGTTTGGAGGTCATGAACTCGTTGAAGCGATGGGAGAGGGGTTCCTTTTGCTGCTTGGGAGACTGGGGGCCGTTGGGAACAGCAGAGGGTGAGGCAGAGGCAGGGGGAGGTGGGGGAGGCTGATGGGGGGATGTTAAAAGGGACATAAGCTACGTGTAAGAGACGGAGCAGTGACAGAGTAAAAAATCAGAAACAAGAAGATAAGACACAAAACAAAAATAAGCATCAAATAATATTTGAAACCCAAAGCAAGTCAAACACAAACAATTAAATATTTGGGCCATGGTCCAAAAGAAAATATGTAAGGATATGTTAAATGAGAATATGATGGAAGTGGGAGTTTTAGTAAGTAAAGCAACAGGAGAATAGCAAGAAATATCTGACAAGAAGCTCATGCAGACTCTCACATGCAAACTACCGTTCTAACTAGTTACTCTAAACCAGTGTAAGCCAGAAGGGTAAATATTTCTAAACCACCTAAACTAACACAGCTTGATGGGAGAAAATGAAAGTCCTTAAATGCTAAGGTTGTGAAAACAGCAAAGACAGTCTTGAAGTATTAAATTATTCTAAGGTTAAAGCAGTCACGTCGCCTTGATCATACTTTATGCCTATGTTAATGCTGTCATGCACTTACGTATCACACTATAAAAAGAAAATGAAAAATGTTCATGGATACATATGTTAACATGAGTTGGAAACCAAGTTATTAACCCATGGAAACAACTTCAATTAAATATGCTGATACATGGTTATAGAAATGTTGTACAATTTTCCTTCTCCCAGCCCAGGTAACCAGCAATCTAGGAGACTTGGGAGTGAAAGGCATGATGCAAAACAGCCAGAGGTCAGTAATCTGTTAGTGTGGGTGACATGGTGCAGGTGATAATGCGTCTGAAATAAGACAAATGGCCATGTCCAAGGTACCATCACCAAAGAGAGATACTGTCTTAAAATAAAATAGCACACTAGCTTTTTTTTTTTTTTTTTTTGCATTCTGAAACAAGCTTAAAATCTTCGTTCCTTTAAGACTAAAAGATAAAGTGAACATCTCCACACTTTATAACACTCATTTCACACTGGGTCCAGCCATCAGTACCTTATTTTTTTTGATGAATGGCCATAACTTTCCTTTGGATTTGCCACCAAATTTGAGCTCTGATTTGCCTTCTCCTCTGGAATTCGAAAGGCTGTTATCTGACACAGTGCGCTTCATTGGCTGAGTGTAATCCTCAAATTCAAGGTCTCCAGGCGGCTCAAAACCGGACTTATAAGCTTCTATGGCCAGCTGTGAATCCTGAAATTACACCCATCACACACAAATACGTTCAAATGCATGCACAGTGAACTATGTGCATCATTATACACAATGAACTATGATGACCTCATACAGATGATATTCTAAATAAGTTATATTGATTAATAATAGATTTTCTAGTAATATTTTCATCATTAGAAAGAATAATTTGTAAAGCTACATGTCTAGCTGAGATTTGAAGATACTTTTAATAATTAACCATTTTTCTACATTTACAGAAACAAATATTAATTAAGAATGACTTTGCTGAAAGCAGAAAAATTGGGCCATTTATTATGCAATTCCCTTGAAAAATACAGTAGTACAAAAACTGGTTCTCATCAGAAGGTCTTAAAGCAATTTGGCATACACAAAGTCAAAGCAAAGAGTAGATAATCTCTCTGATTTCTTTGGTTAATTGTGATTCAAAGATATGAATTTATTGAATAATTTTTCTTTATGTATATATTTGTTCACAGTCTCTCCTCTACTAGAATGTAAGCTCCCTTCTGTTTTTCTTCCACTGTGTCCCTAGTACCTAGATGGTGTCCGGTGATAATGGTGCAATAAATGTTTGCTGAATAAATCAGTGAACTGCTGCCTACTCTGTAGTGTGCACCCTGCTAGGAACTTTGAGATCAGAATCTTCTTGGGGTCAGGCGGTGAAGACCAATGTGTAAGGAAATGACAACTATCGTGTCAAAGATAGATAGATAGATGTATAGTTAAACTGTTACAAAAGCACATGTGATTTGTAATAACTTTCTAACTCAATGATCATCTGATTTAAAAAATCTACTAGATGGGACTTCCCTGGTGGCGCAGTGGCTAAGGATCCACCTGCCAAGGCAGGGGACATGGGTTCGAGCCTTGGTCCGGGAAGATCCCACATGCCGTGAAACAACTAAGCCCGTGCACCACAACTACTGAGCCCGCGCTCTAGAGCCTGCGAGCCACAACTACTGAGCCCACGTGCCTAGAGCCCGTGTTCCGCAACAAGAGAAGCCACCGCAATGAGAAGCCCGCTCACTGCAATGAAGAGTAGCCCCCGCTTGCCGCAACTAGAGAAAGCCCACGTGCAGCAACGAAGACCCAATGCAGCCAAAAATAAATATAAAGTAAATAAATAAATCTTAAAAAAGAAAAACTACTAGAGAAGACAATTTGGAAAAATCTCAACTTCCTACAGTGAGCCCACATTTTAATTTGCCGTAGCTATTTCAGTTTACACCGATTTTGTAGGTGTGCCATAGGCATCAATTGTCTTGCAATAGCCAATCACCCTTCCTTCTTAGTAACAAGAACCCTGATTTTAAGTCAGGCACATGGCCACCCAGCAAAAAGGCTTCACTCCCCAGTCTTTTGTACAGCAGGAGGTGGCCCTTAAGTTTTGACCTCTGAGATCTCTTGAGATGTAGGCAGAAGTACAGGGAGCAATTTTAGGAAGCCTCTTTCGAGAGATGGCATGGGCCCTTCTCTATATAACATTTTCTGGAATTTGGATGTGATGGTTGGAGCTACAGAAGCCATATTGAATTTGAAAGTCATATCATCGAAAGCTGTGAACTAGGAGAAGCCTGGGTCGCTGAGAAGTTGCGGACCATCTGCCTATACCATGGTTGGACCCTCTTGCCTCTAGACATCTTTACATGGAAGGAAAAAGAAACCACCTTAAGACACTATTGCCATTGTTATATGAACCTAAACCTATACTAGCAGGTTCAGCTCTACAATCCTAAGTGTGCCAGTGACTATACTAATCCAAAACACAGAAGGCTGAATTAAAAAACTCTTAAAATGGTGCTGCTACTGTTGAAAAGTATTTGTGACCACTGAAAGCAACTACTTTCAGGTGATTAAATATGGTCACTGTGGAAAGGGGCAGGGAAATAATGGGACCGCAAACTCTTAGTTATAAATTAAGTCCAAACTACAGTACTTACATTTTGCGGATCAATTGACTCGGCTGCCTTTACTATTCCATCCAAGCACTTCCCGATGATTGGAATCACCTGCCGATCCAGCTCTGCATACGTCTTCACTGATTCTCCAATTCTCACTATCCTCCGTTCCTCCATCTCTTGTATTTTCTGAAACATTAGAATTTGCATAAAATTAATTTGGTCCACTGCTTTCTGGGTTTTTAAAAAATTAATTAATTAAATTTTGGCTATGTTGGGTCTTTGTTGCTGCGTGCGGGCTTTCTCTAGTTGTGGCGAGTGGGGGCTACTCTTCGTTGTGATGCGCGGGCTTCTCATTGCGGTGGCTTCTCTGGTTGCGGAGCACGGGCTCTAGGCACACGGGCTTCAGTAGTTGTGGCTCGTGGGCTTTAGAGTGCAGGCTCAGTAGTTGTAGCACTCGGGCTTAGTTGCTCTGCGACATGTGGGATCTTCCCAGACCAGGGCTCGAACCCGTGTCCCCTGCATTGGCAGGCAGATTCTTAACCACTACGCCACCAAGGAAGCCCCAATTTGGTCCACTGTTACTTAAGGAAGTTGTTTTTTGGCAGCACTGTTACCTCTAAAAAATTCTCTAGGCGGGAAACAGGCCTATAAAAAGGTTAGAGTTACAGCAACCGTAAATTTCTTGTGCCTCTACCTGAGCCAGCTGGACACCTATTTTATGAATTGCTGGGCTGCCTAAATGTACACTTTACACGACTCCATTCCAATTTCAGTAAGAACCCGAAACTCAAGTAGTTTTACTATTAACACCATTTGGTATTAGATTTTAAACATCTCCTCCATCTTTGAGACACTGCTTTATCCTTTACCGAAAGTATGGTATTTGGTTAACTGCCTTGACCCAACACAGGCTTACATTAACTAGTATACCTGCCTTCTACAAGCTGGAGGTTCTTGTTTGCTGTGTAGACACTATGACACAAATATTTATTATTTTTTCTACAGTTGGACTTTAAGTTGTAAAAAATTCCCAGAGTGGGAACGTATGTATCTTTTCTCATACTATTTTTGACAACCTAAAGTAGCCAAAAGAAAAACAATCCAAAGGAAAGAACTGTCATCTATTCAAATCCTACAACTGTCTCAATGCTGCTTAGATTCCTAAAGGTTAAGTTGGAATTTTTGTAACCAGAATGGTCCTTTTAGCAAAAAGAGTGTTAATCTGAGAATCACAGTTCTAAGACCGACCAAGAATGGCTGCAGGGGCAAACCAAGGAAGTTTGCAAAGGCTATTGATTAATCTTGAGATTCATGTTATATTTCATCTTAATGTCAGTCAGTGCTTGATCTGAATGTTTTAAAAAATGATTTGAATTAGAGGAAACTTAGAATTATATACATACTTAGAATATAAGCCCAGAAATCATGATTCCAAGGCAACATTTTTCTAAGCAAAGCAAATGTGAGAGATCTGAACTCCTTACCTGAAAGATATTGGGAATGTGAGTATGGTAATATTCATGCTGCTCGTGGTTGAATTTCTGAAGAATTGATGAGTAATCTGCTTTGCTGTCCTCTGCCATTTGGTGACGCATTTGAGCTTGTTGTCGTGCCTTAGGGCAAAAAATGAGAATACCCCCATGTTTACACATAATAAGTAAAAGCCTAGGATTGCAAACTGGAGGAACTGGGGGATCAAATTTACCTCCCATTTGTTGTATTTAGCAGGTGCTGTTTTAAAAAGCAATTGTTTAAACAATCCAATCCAAAAATGGGCAGAAGACCTGAAAAGACATTACTCCAAAGAAGACACATAGATGGCCAACAGGCGCATGAAAAGATGCTCGACATCACTAATTATTACAGAAATGCAAGTCAAAACAACAGTGAAATATCACCTCACACCTGTCAAAATGGCTATCAGGAAAAAGTCTACAAATAACAAATGTTGGTTAGGATGTAGAGAAAAGTGAACCCTTGTACACTATTGGTGGAAATTGGTGCAGCCCCTATGGAAAACAATATAGAGGTTCCTCAAAAAACTAAAAATAAAACTACCATATGATCCAGCAATTCCACTCTTGTGTATATATCCAGAAAAAAAATGAAAACATTAATTCGAAAAGATACATGCACCCCAATGTTCATAGCAGCACTATTTACAATAGCCAAGACATGAAAGCAACCCAGGTGTCTATCAACAGATGACTGGATTAGGAAGATGTGACACACACACACACACACACACACACACACACACATATACACACACAATGGAATATTACTAAGATATAAAAAAGAATAAAATACTGACATTTGTGGCAACATGGATGACCCTAGAGAATATTATGCTTAGTGAAATAACTCAGACAGAGAAAGACAAATACTGTATGAGATCACTTACACGTGGAATCTAAAAAAAATAGTACAAATGAATATCAGACTCACAGCTGGAAAACAAACTTGTGGTTACCAAAGGGGAAAGGGACAAATTAGGGGTATGGGATTAATGATACAAGCTACTATATTTATAATAGATAAGCAACAAGGATATACTGTATAGTACAGGGAATTATGGCCATTATCTTGTAATAACCTGTAGTGGAGTATAGTCTGCAAAAATACTGAATCACTATGTTGTACACCTGAAACTAACACAATATTATAAATCAACTGCAGTTCAATTTTTTTTGAAAAAAAAAGGAGAAAGAAATTATTTAGAATTTGAATTTACTTTAGGCAAGGATGTGCACCCTAATTTTTCACAAACACCAACATTCTCTATTGTCTTAACTTGGCATTACTTTCTAGTTTGACAACATGTGCCAACATTCTTTATTGTCTGCACTTGGCCCAATTCGCACATTTATGTTACCTAGATTTAGGTTCCCTTATGGGAACCGCTGATCATATTTTTTATATCCTGAGGAGGGGACGGGCGAGCTATAAATTTTTTAATCCAATTCTCAACGGAATTCATGAATTAAAAAGGCATATCGGGGGCTTCCCTGGTGGTGCAGTGGTTGAGAATCCGCCTGCCAATACAGGGGACACGAGTGTGATCCCTGGTCCAGGAAGATCCCACATATCGCGGAGCAACTAAGCCCATGAGCCACAACTACTGAAGCCTGCGCGCCTAGAGCCCGTGCTCTGCAACAAGAGAAGCTGCCACAATGAGAAGTCCGCGCACCACAACGAAGAGTAGCCCCCGATCGCCACAACTAGAGGAAGCCTGTGCACAGCAGTGAAGACCCAAAGCAGCTAAAAATAAATAAATAAATATTTTTAAAACAGGTACATGAACCACTGATCTAAAGGGACCTTTCTAAAACTCCCCACTATGTTTATTTTCAGAATATACTTTAAAGAAGCAGTAAGTATGTTGCTCTCTTTGTGCTTTTTTTTTATGTGCTTTTATTTTTTTATGTGTTTTTTTTCCTTTGTGCTTTTTATGTGTGTGTGTGTGTGTGTGTGTGTGCACGCACGTGCTATTTTGTGTTTTACTGCATTGCTTTTCTCCTAAATAATAATAGAATTCATACATTTGTTTCTCTCTTCTCATTCATTTTTTGGCTAATTACACACAGGCAAGAAAGGGGCTCTTAGTGACAAGCTGCAGAATCGATTTGAAAGTTCAAACAAGAATGTCTGTCAAGTCGAAAGTCCTCCACAAATAGCAGAGATTGTTATGCTGGTAACAGCTCCTCAGATTCCTCCAGCACCTTGGAGGCGCCTTGATAATACCATCTCATGAATCTCTAAGACAATCTGAGGTCCGTGCAGGGCAACAACTACCCCCTGCCAGATGAAGAGATGGCTTGGCCTGTATACTGGGCAAACTTACCACACTGAACCAAGAACACAACAGGAAAAGGGCCTTGTTCCAACATACCCAAGGCAACTTTTGTTTGTTGTTTTGTCTTGTTTTACTGAACCTAACTGCTTAAAAAAAGAAAAAGAAAAAAACAAAGAACCGTTCAAATGCCAACACGAAAGGCTGGAGTCATTTGTCCCACTGTCTGTCTGATCACTGGTACCAGATCGGTTTCTTCGCAGCTCCATGTCCTTCGTTGGTTTCCTGCCTCTGTGACTTGAAGGCTTAACCTGATTTCACTTCCTTGATATGCTTCGCTCATCTGTGTATCCGTGAAAGCCCGAGGTGATCATTCAGAGCTGCTTCCTTTATTTTCTTCTCTGTTCATACGTAAACACTTCCAAAATGCAGGGAACAATATTAATATTTCCAAACTGATTTCCTTATTACCTGAGGCTTCCTAGTTTCTTAAGACCTTTAGGTACCTCAAAACCAATTTACCAACTTCTCACCTCCCCTCAGTTAGTTCAGCTGCTGCCTTCTTCCTCTTTGTCAGCAGACTGTTAACTCCCTTCCTGACCATACGCTCTGGCTTCCGCTTTACTGTGTTCACTAGCAAATACGTAAGCTAGTCCCCAGCATGTTGAGTCCCCAGCTACCCCGCAAAATCCATGCCTTTCCAACACACAGTAACCCTCCTCCACTTAAATAGTAGCCTCCCCACCTGCGTGCACTCCATCTGTTTCCCCTGATGCAACCAACTCAAAAATCCTTTTAACTCTTTCAATTACCTAGAATTTTATCATTTCTCACTCTATTATGACGATGGGGGAAAAAAAAAAACATACAAGGAAATTCCCAGGTAGACCTCCCATTTCTAAAAAATTCTCTCTTTCATTTACAAAACTTCCTCAGAAAAAAAAGTCTCAGAAAAATCCCAGGGGAGGGAGGTTCCGTCATCTCTTTTGTAAGGAGAGTAGCAAGATGGACAGTCTCCTTATTTATTTTGCAGAAATGATTCTAATTTGGTGAAAACTTAAAATAGCTTAGTTCTGAAACAGAGATCAGAATGTCATCATTAAATATGCACTTATGTGTGTATACACACACACACACACACACAGCCCACATAAGCAGATTAATGTTTCCTGACAATCAGGCCATCATAACGACCATGGAATATTTTACTCATGAGAACGGGAGGTGAGCCTGCCAGAGGTACCCCATCACCATCTGATTGGAAGTGGTCGTCACCCTCTAACCTCTGAACTCCCCAGAATCTCTAATCATGTTTTTGCTTTGGCTATATAACTTCTTTTATTAACATTAATTCATAATAGTTTTATATTAATTAAACTATCAATATTAATTCATAATAATTAAACTATTAATAATTAATTCATAATTAATATTAATTCATAATAGTTTCACAGTGCCCTGCACAATGCATTCCTGAAATGTAACTAGGTGACCAGTAAACTATGGAAGAAACTGAGATAAGGAAGAACATGGATAAAATCCAGCCCGGAAAGTGAGCTGAGTAGAAGAAAACAAACAGACTCCAGAGGGAATGGGTCTACCTTTTGTAAAGGAAGCATGATCTCTCTGGGAGTTTTCTTGAAAGCAAAAGTTTGGACCTGAGGTTGCAAAAGCCTCTGTACCTCTGCAGATTCTCTCTGACTCACTGAAAGGATAAAGCAACATTTAAAAGCAGCAAAATATTGTCGCACATCAGATTCTGCAAGGCCACCAGCAGGAAGACAGGACTATCTTACTCTCAATCCCAGCATCCAGCTGCTTTGAATTAATACCCACTGTTGAATCCAGGCCCAGGAATGTGCCATTGTTCTGACCAAGATTTACTATGGAAATCTATTTTTGTTTCCTAAGCTGCTATGTTTATTTTGCAATGGATCTTCAAGAGTCTCTCTCCAAAACTAGTGCTGAGTCAGTTACTCATTACTACAAATATGTTTTTAAAAATATCTTTAAAAGTATTTTCAAAAACTTATTTGAAGTAACCGCTAAGTAACTAGATATTTTCGAGAGTGTATCTCCTAACGACTAAGGCTACGTGAAGATTAGAAGCATCACTTCTCCTTGCTTTTTAAGTCCATCTGAAAATAGCAACTATTATCTTAAAGAGGTATAGTATTTCTATTCTCCGCCAGACCATTAGCTATTTCTTTTCATTCATGTTCTCATTCTAAGAATAAAAGATACCGCATCTTATAGCAATATTACTGTAGGGCAGAGAGAAGGTCAGAGGATTTTCTTTTTTAATGACTCAGAGTTACAGAATTTAGAGATAACATTCTAAAAAAGTCCAGAATGACCACAACTGCCTGACGCTGTAATTCACAGACATCTTTAAATAAGAACTACACCAGTTTCACTGTCAATCAGAAAGACTGAATTTAAATTTTAGAATTTCTTTGACAAATCCTTGGGAATCTCCCCAAATAAATCCAAATAGGCCTAAGTCTGTATTGCTTAAGCGTTACTTCACTGCTTAGTAATTCTTAACACCTCTAACTCAACATCCTATGGAAATAAAGCTGTGCTGCCTAAAAGGTCAGAGTTACAGTTTCTAAATAAAGAAAACAAGATTTTAGAAACTGAGCTGCAGCCCAATGCTTCTAAATCCTCACAGGTTTAAAGATAAAAATCCATTTAGTTAGTTATATTTAGATGATTAGCAGGGCCAAAATGTGTAGCTATTTCCTGTTCAATTCGCTATTACTTTTTCCTTAATATTTCAAATATTAAGAAGAAAACACCGCTGGCTGAGTCTCAATT